GATGTAAACATGTTGAGGTAAACATGCATAACATTGTGTCTTATGGTACGAGCATTAAAAATTAACTAGAATGAAAAGTCTGAAGGCATATTAGAAAATGTTGAGCATAACCTCATAGATGTGGTTTTGCAAAGCTGATCAAACCACATTTCTAGATAGAAAAAACATTCCAAATTATTCAAATTTAGGAAGATTATAATAATGCAGCTAGAGGTCTCGTTCACATTTGTGAAGGAGACATATTTACAGAAAAATGAAAAATGAAATAATAAGTGTCATGACCAATATAATTAAACTGTGTCATCATGCATGTGACTTCTCAGACATCTGATACTGAATTGCTGAAGTCAGTTTTAGAGGTATGGGTCACTTGGGAATATCAGTTTGCTTGGATAGGCTCCACAACAGCTACAACTGGTTCTGCTTTCCCTTAACAGAGTTGTATATAACTAGTAAAAAGAGAAAAATGAAAAATCTTGTATGTATATAAAGATATTGATTTCAATAGGATCAATGTTTATTTTCTCTGGATGATAAGCCAACATATGATAAATGAAATACAATGGGGCAGTTTTCACAACATAACTGTCCTCTATGGGTTATTTCATTCATGGTGAGGCTGCAGCACAGGTGAGGGGTTTGCCACCATTATGAAAATGCAATGACAACTCAGATGTGGTTATGTCAAGCAAACCCAGTCAGCATGGGCAATGCAAGGATTACACAATGCGCATAGAACTCATGGTCTGTTTTAGGGTTATATGAGGTTGTTTAACCCTTACCAGTTTTCGTGACACAACAGATAACCTATGATGAGTTGTCTGCACTCAATGTAACAAAATGGAAAATAAGCACTCATTTGCACAGAAAATCCTAGATTTACCTATAAACTGATAGAGCCTTAACAGGTGTTAACTAAACAGGAAAGAGATCTTGGGATCGTGATAATGGTTGATAGCTCCTTATGAAACAACAGAGAAAGAGAAAAAGCAAACTTCATGCTTGGGATTACTAGGGAAAGGAATGAAAATAAAAAACAGCCAGTATCTTTCAGTTATGAAGTGGTTGCATTTGTAATGCTAGCCACCAAATCTCAAAAGTAGTGATTGGGCTTCCACAATACAACAACCCACTGCAGGTAGCTAGCCATGATGGGTTGTTTTGTTCTGCAAATTGAGACTGCTTTCCACAGGGTGCCTTAATTTTTGTGAACATACTACCCTGAAAACCTGTAACTTATTTTAGGTGATTCATGTTGCTGATTACTGGACAGCAATTTCATTGTGGGTAGTAGAACCAAACTAGTGATCTACCTGGCAAGAACAATGAAACCCCTTGCGGCTCTTTGCAATCTCAACTGCACTACTTCCAGTGATGTACCTCCACTTACTCCCAAACAGCACTTGTAAGTTATGGTTACTTGTTTGTCACCCTTTAAATCCCTATAAATTAATTGTGAATCAAAGGTTTCCTCCTGGGTGAGGGTGGCCAATCCTCCATGTGGTGAGGTGGATGGCCCTGACATCCAGGTGTAGGATCATCCTTTGGTCCAAGAGATGATGTCCGGCCTCAAAGGGAATCAAATGAAATTGTGGTTGGTCAAGTGAAGGAGGTGGGCAAACCACACCTATTGAGGCCACCATAACATGATGAGGATGCAGGGTGTGCTTTTCCTCAGGATCTTTGCTAGCCTCCTGGTGATCAGTGGAAATGGTAGAAACAGGAAGAACAGGGTCCCTTCCTGGAGGAGAAGAAACATGTCTCCCAATGAGTCCTGGCCAAGCTCAGCTCAGGAGCAGAAGGCACTGCTTTTGGCAAAGAGGTCTACTGACAGGTTACCCACATTTTGAAGAGCTACATCAGAACTTCTGGTTGTAGCTTCCATTCATGACTTTCCTTAGTCCTCCTGTTCAGGGCATCTACCATGACGCTGACAGTCCCAGCCAAATGAATGACTATGATGGTAATGCCTCCCTTGAGGCACCAGTTCCAGATCTTGAAAGTAAGGCAAATCTGGGATGCAGATTGTGTGCCATCTATATTCGCCAAAGTGATCTGGAGATGTTGTCTTTGAGGCAGAGATGGAACATGATCAGTGCCTTCTGGATGATGATCTTGAAGTGGTTTATAGGCTTCTTCTGTTCCCAATATATCCAGACACCATGGGTCCCTGCTGCTGGTGCAGTGTGTTCCCCAGCTTGGAAAGGTGACTCGCTCTGCTAGGTTGTGTCATCAAATTCCAGATGCAGCTCACCCAAACTGAATATGGGAGTGCCAGCTGCTTTTGGGCCAAATTGTGCTGTGGTCAGTAGGTGCACATGAACCAGAGCTGCAGTGGCTGCATCCATAGCCTGGCAAATGAGATGACTGCAATAGTTGCTGCCATGACTTCCAGGAGCAGCTATACCCACTGCACCCATAGTCCTGGGTTTGACCTGGAGCCTGAATCAAAGTTAATCAGTGCCGCTGCTCTGTCTGCTGGTAGGCACACCTATGCTGTCATTGCATTGACTCGCCTCCCAATGTAATAAATTGAGGTGAATCAGCTTCCTTGGTGCCATAGTGGCAGAGGATTCTGCAGAAGACCATGCAGAACTTCTTATGAGGGTTGAAGAAGTTCACACCCAGCAGAATTAGGATGGGATGGAGGCTGTTGTCCTTATTCAGTACTGCAGAGTACTGGAAGTAGAATCCAAAGGGGAGATCAGGTGAAGATTCAGTGGGAGTACCTCCTCTAATAGCATCAAGGCTACTTCCTCTGCCAGCATGGGACAGGGCAATGTCAAATGAATGGAACTGAAAATTGGTCAATACCAGTTCTGCCAGGACAATAATAGGAAAAAGATAACTGGGAGCATCACAGGAACTGATGCAGAAACAGGTACTGGTGGCTTCCTTTGAACCATGTCCACATGGCTGGAGGGGGACTGGCAGGATGCACTGGTCAGTGCCATCGCCTCTTTGTGTACAGTCTCCTTTTCTGTGCCAGTTATTCATCAGTGTGGGCACTCCTCAATCTGGCTGCAAACCTCCTGAGATAGGCTCACTTCATGATGTCCATGGAGATGCTACAGAAGGAATGCAATGTCACACTCTTGGATCTGGCACAGGCTTCCCAAATGGCTAGATGTTGGCTGAGACTGTGATGGTACCCTCCACAGATCTTTCAAGGAAGGAATGGAATAGCCACCAGCACTGTATCCTCAGTCCAAGTGATGCTACCACCCAGAGGAGCTGTTCCGAATAACGGAATGGCCAGTCCCAGTAAGGTACTGCGCTGGTGAAGGTGGCATCCAATATGGATGACTCTTGCACTGATGAAAAAGGTTGCCTGGACAGAGAAGACATAGTGGGACTGGGTGCAGGAACTAATGCAGGGAAAGGGGCCTCAGAGTCTCTGGTAAGGTAACACAGAAAAAAGAGACAGCAATGCTGCTGCTCCCTCATGGCAATTACAAGAACACGTGTCTGAAGTGGTACAGGAAACCACAACAATGGGTGAAGGGGCAGCCACAGGAATTGGTGCAAGAAATGATATTAGGCTCAGAGTGGGACTGGATGCAGAACTGGGCACAGAAACTGGCACAGAGAATGGGACCCTGAGTCTTTGGGTGGCAGAGGAGGGGACCCAGTGCAGAAAAAGCACGTAAAAGAACAGCATTGCCACCAGCTCTGTCAGGGTGACTGCAGGAGCCTGTGAGGATGCCGGAGGAAGAGGAAGTGTGCAGGGACGGTCACAGGAATAGGGGTTGCAGGAATGAGTGCAGGAACCAGAATCAGAAGAGGTGCAGGATCTGTCAGGTACAGGTGAAACCCCGAGATGTGTGTGGTAGACCGGGGCCCCCACTGCCAGACCTGCAGGTAGATGGGCCCCTCTGCCATGGTGCAGGAATGGACATGGGAAATGGTGTCAGAGGCAGTGCAGGAACTGCTGGGACACATGTGGTAGATCAGAGGCTCCCACTGCTGGATGGTGCCAATGTACTTGTCCTTGCCTACTTGTTCTCTTTTCATCCTCCTTCCCCCTGTGTTCCTCTTTGTTTGTGCACCCATACAATGGCGTAGGTGGGATGGCTGGGGTGGCTGGTGGAGTTCCAGCTGCCACAGATAGATGGTGGGAGAAAAGAGATGCACACGAGATGTGCTCTGCTGGCAGCACCAAGGCCTAATCAGTGGCCATAATGGTGTGGCTCCACGATCTTGATCTAAGTCAGCCTGCTTGGTTCTTCCAGGCCAGGGATAGTCCTCTCCTGGGCAAAAATGGCACAGGTGACAAGCATTCATGAAAGGTAGATGGCTTCCACAGTGAACGCATTTCCTAACAGACACTTTGAGAGCTATCGGGGATAGAGATGAAAGGTAAGTCATAAGGATACACCCAAAATGGTTGATGATAAGTATTGTTTCTAAAGAGATTAATGTATTATTTTAATTATCATTTTTTAAAAATAAGGTTTAGAAATACCTTTAGATCATAAAAGTAAAAACGAGCAAAGGTAAGAGTTCTGAAAGGATAGAAGTAGATTTTAAAAGATTTATAAAGCTGAGGTAAAAAATGAAAAATCGGGGAACGGAGCCAAGGTACCCGAAACGGCAGTTGGAAAAGAACTGGGGGAAATGGTGGGAGCCCCGCCTTTATCAACTAAGGGAGGGGGGTAAGGGCAGGGCTCCTGCCAAAACAAGTTTAGCTAAGAAAATCTTCCTGACAACAGGTCCCATGCAGGTGGAGAGCCTGTATGTGTGACACACAGAGATCATGAAGAAGAATGCTAAGATCTTTGCAGGTAGCTTCTGTGACCATCCTAAAATAGTCCTGGAAGTTAGCAGGAAACTATTGTTAACACTTCAGTACCAGATAAAAAAGTCCCCCCCCCCCACTGATGTGTAGAAATAAGCAACAGCATTATGTACTAGTCTGACACATTATTAGGACCAGGCCTACAATGAACTGAACAAAGCATGAGTAAACATTTGAACAAACAGCATTGAAAAGCACGTACCTTTCAGAAAAAATGTTTCCAATTTATCCTTAAAGGGCTGGAGATGTTCTTCAGGTGATTCTTGGAAAACCACTTTCATCTGTTTTTCACAAACTGCCAAGAGTAAGTTCAGTGTTAGTTTTGTTAAGATTTTTTTTTAAATCTTGACTAAAATATTGCATACAGCATTTCTCTTGTAGAAACAATCAAGGCCACTAATGCAAGAACTGCTTCTCATCAGACAGTAGTGTTATTATGTATTCTGAATTCTTTGAAAAAATGTCTTTAAGGATACTGATTTTGCTGATGCACATCAAGTGCATTCTTAATGAAAAGACTAGTCATAAAAATTTCTTTTAAGAATAAAATATGATTCCTTTTCCCTACAGGAAATATCTTAGATTATGTCTAGTTTTACAACTACAATCTGGTCTCAAGCCTTGAAACAGAGTTCCCTATACGCTAACCATCCCAAAATTAGTTTCCATAACCTGCACTAAAATGCACTATCATAAGACACAAGATGCAACAATACACCTTCTTTTAGAGGTGATTCAAAGAACAGTTTGGCAAAACAATCCACATGGCTCAAGCAGTCCTGAGAAAGCAAGCTGAAGCATTTGGAATTGTGATTATATGGCTTCTGTGATTACCAAAACTCTGGTCTCAATCCTATGCACATTTACTTCATCTCAATTAATACAATGGTGCTTACCTATGCATAAACATCTTTAGGAAAAAAGGATTCAAACAGTTTATAAACAAAGAGCCTGAGAAGATCTTTTATGTAATTTATAGCCTAACATTCTATTCCCATACACATATACCTGGAAATCAGTCCTGTTGATTTCTAAAGCTGTTCTTCCTATCAAGGGCACAATTCTATGCATGTTTAGACAGAAAAGGTCCTACACATGCCAGCATTCACTAGGTGACAATCATCATCACTACATCAGATTAATATTCGCCTTGCCTTTCTTTATCTTGTAAGAAACCCAGGCAGTTTACAAGGTTCTCTTCCTCTTTTTTTCATCCTTTCAACAAGTCTGTAAGGAAGGTTAGGCTGAATTTCATGGTTGTATGGGGACTAGAGTCCAAATCCATTTCTAGTCCCAGTCAAGCACTCTTAACCACTACCTCACAGTCTTAATAACTGCCATGTGTATGATTGCACCTATATTTAGGATTACAGACTAGAAAGAGATGCAAACCTGAAGAATACTGGAATTGTGGACCATTACATATCATTATGTCTGGATCATTATATTTGAAGAACAACGATAAGTGTACCCATTTAAAGAAAAATGATTATATAAGGAGGCCAGTTTACTATGCAATAGTGATATGGGTGATTTGTAGCAATGTAATTATCTTTATTTGCATGTAAAGATCGTGATTTCATACCTTACTGTAAATGAAAATCTGTAAAACTGTGTAATTCAAATGGAAGCACTATGTGATGAAATGAAGGAATGTGCATAACAGGGTAGTTCTTGGAGGGTCAGTGATAATCCGGTTAATATTTTTTTTAATTAGTTTCAATGCATTTCAAAATTATCTAGAGATAAATGGCAGATAAGTGCTTATCACTGGTTATGTAGGTAGTAATGTGAGAAAGAACTCAAAGGGAGTGATAAGTGACAGGGTAAGAATTTCAAATTTGTGTAACTCAATATATTTCTGAGTACTGATCATGCTTTTCAGTTAACAACACCCTATTTGCATTATTACCTATAATTACCCAGGGGAATACTATGGTTTCCATCTGTGCAGATATTTTTGAAAACAGAAAGGAATATGCAGTTTTGTGGATTAGAAGATTTAATCTACCCACCTACCCATGTGATGTTCAGTCCAGATTTACTGATGGGTTTTTTTTAACTATGTTCTACCATATAGTCTATATAATGGGAATAATAAATTCTTATAGAAAGGGGAAAGAGATACATTATTTAGTAAGAATTTGAAGCAGAGCTGGTATTTAAGCTTTAGATACCTGAATCCCAAAAGATTTATTCCATATTAAACAGAGTACCCAATGAAGGTACTTATGCTTCGGTCTTAACAGGAAGATGTAGTAGTATTAATTGGTAGTACCTTACACCTTGAGCTAACCTTCCCTGTGCCACGATAGCAGTTTGGTAGTAGGAATATTGGCAGCTTCTCTGATACACTACACTGTTTCTACAATAAATAGATGGAGGGTAGTACAGCAGTGATTCAGGAAACTTCTAACCAGACTTCAAAGAGCAAATTCTGGCCTAGTAACTAATAGAAAATAAATTCCAACTTTACATATAAGCTGATGGGATTTGAGCTCATGTGGTCTGATTATTATAATTATGAAATACATTAAAATAAAGCTGCCAATATCATAATGTCCTGATACAAATCTATGGTGCAAATACTTGGAATACTGCATACAGTTTTGTGCACTGCACCTAAAAAAAACACTGGTGAATTGTAAAAATTACAGGCAAGAGCAACCAAAATGACTGCAACAGCTTCCCTAAAAAATGAAGGGTGTTAGCCACTTAATGGTTTAGCTTAGAATGAGGAGAGACATGACAGAAGAGCACAAAGCGATATGCACAGTTTGCAGAAATTGGGAGACATTTTTCTCCATCTATCATAATATCAGAGCCTGAAATCCAGTATTCTGGGAGGGAGCATGTTGTTGCAGTCATGTCCTGCTTGTGTGATTTTTGTGTTCCACTGTAGGTCACTGTCTGAAGAAAAAGGCTGCAATATATGGACTGATCCAGCAGGGCTTCTCTTATGCTGTTACGCAGTCTGAGCAGCTTGTTGCAGTGGTGCCAAATGTACTGCTTAGATGGTCAATAGTGCGGCAGTTTTTTTTAAGCTCACTAACAAGAATCTCATTTATTAAGAACAGTCTAAAGGCATTATGAAAAGGAATGGAAGTATATTGTAGGACTTCTGTATCACTCTGAGGACACTATGCAGAGGTAAATTAGTGATGCAATGACCAACAAAACTGGCTATTGAAATCACTGTTATTTCTAACTACTGGCACAGCTTTAATCTCCATGCCCTGATGCCTAAGCTTTATTCACTGTATCTTCCCCAATTCCAGTTGAAAAGCAGAAGCTGGTTGCCCTCACCCCACTGCCCTACCTCATCTGAGAAATCTGTTGGGGCAGTTCCTCTCACAAAGCAACCTCTTTGTGGAGTTTACTTAAACACTTGTGCTTCCACTGTAGGAAGGCAGTGGAGGCAAGGCCCAGGTCAAGGGATTCATGTCTTTTGCTCCTGAAGAGACAAGCAAGTTATTATATCTTCATTTGTATTTTTAAATTTAACTTACAATTATTTTGTATTGTTTTTGTTTTACTATTTAGCCCTTTGTGATTTTTTGTTGTTTTAGCATTTTACAAGGTAAACTGCCAATGTGGTGAAGTGATTAAGAGCACAGGTCTGAGACTCAGGTGATCTGGGTTCTAGACTGCACTCAGCCATTAAGTCAATTGGGTGGCTTTGAGTTAGATACACACTCTCGGCCTAATCTACTTTACAGGGTCGTTGTTGTGGGGATAAGGTTGAGGGCATGATGCAGCTACACCAAGTTCTTTAAAAAAAGAAAAAGGAGGGGTATAAATCAAATCTGATCTGATCTGATACAATAAAATACAATACAGAAAGAATATCATAAGGGAATGGTCCTGGGAAAGGAAAGTACATCATGATGATTTTGTTAACAGTACAGTCTTACACAAATTTACTCAGAAGTAAACCTTCTTGATTTCAATAGTCTTAATAAGTTTACAACCTAAAACCAACACTTCAAACAGAGTTATGACATATCAACTGTCTATTTTATAAGCTGGTGGAGAACACCAAAGTGTGCAATTTATGTGGACTATTAGGTCTGTAACATGAACCTCACAGCCATTTAAACTTGAAAAAGCTTTTCTTGAAAAAGAGAGAGAGAACATTCCAATTGCACATTTTTCATCTTTAAAAACAGAATATGATTAAAAATGAATCTTAAACATATAAACTGTAATCACTGTGTTTATTAAAAACAACCCATATAGAACCACTTCATTAATTGCTGAATTGTTCTGAAAAAATGGGAGAGAAAAATGACAGCATGGAGAACATATATTTGAAAAGGTAAAATCCTCACTAGTCTTATTCCAAATTGTAACCACATAAAAATTAATGTTACAATATTTTAATCTAATTAAAATGAACACATGAAAAATCACCTATGATGAAATTCAGGGATATGAGTTTATCTAAGGATTGTACCATTTGATAACTATCACAAACAGAACAATCTTTTTCATATTTATTAAGATGTAAGCACCACTGATTTTAATGCATTTAAGAAGACATATATTTTTTCACGTTTATTTTTATAGATATAGGAAAAAGAAAAGAAAAAGTAACATGAAAAGGAAGAAAAAAAAATACCAAGGGACCTTCATATAAAAATTACATATAGTTCAAGGAGAGGAAAATCACATAAAAATCAATAATTATTACTAGTATCAATTTTAGAACTACAGTTTTGACTTAATACATGATTATTACAAAAAAGACTTGAAGATGGACATCAAGTAAATAATAATTCACCTTATAACATATTCACAAACAATAACTGATTTTCCCTTTTTCCTCAGTTAAAACAGTATAATCATAAAAAGTTAAATTCATAAAACAATTATATTAATTTGATCATTGTAAGTATAAGACTTAATATTAATACTCTCAATTGCTTATTGAAGAATATGAGAAGATGCTTATGTTTTTGAAGGACTTGGAGATATTTGCCTTGCAGGTTACCTGGAATGTACTACATATGTAGTATAACTTGCAAAAATACTTACATTCATACGTTTAAGTCTGATGTTATGGGCAGTTGCATATCAACAGCATCACAAAACATCAGGCACTAACTAGGCTCTGGGTTAAGGGAGCAGTTTGGCCTTAATTATTTGGAGCTGCCACTTCTTTCTCCAGTACCTGGACAACAATCTCTATCAGGACTGCTGAAGAAGAGCTGAGGAAAACTGTGTCTGGCAGAGGTTGGGCTACTAGAGCTGGCCCCTTGGGTCTTCTGTTTGGAGCCCCAAATCTATGGCAAG